TTGCCCAATGCGATCAAGCACTTCCCTGAGGTGTCGGAGGTGATCCCCCCAACTATCACTGTAGAGAGCTATATCGTCTAGATAGGCACAGGAGAAGTCCTGCAGCCCATCCAGCAGCTTATCTACCATTCTCTGAAAGGTAGCCGGGGCGTTCTTCATCCCAAATGGCATGACCCTGGACTGGTACAAGCCGAAAGGGGTGACGAATGCCGACTTCGGTACTGCGTCCGCATCCAGCGGAATCTGCCAGTACCCCTTGCAGAGATCAATAGTGGTAAGAAAAATTACCTCTGGCCATCCAGTCCAACAGCTTGTCTATCCGGGGCATGGGGTATGCATCGGTCACGATCCGGTCATCGAGCCTGCGGTAGTCCACACAGAAGCGGGCGGTTCCATCCTTGGGTACCAGGACTACTGGGGAGGCCCAGGGACTGTCAGAGGGTTCTATCACACCTAAATCCAGCATTTCCTTAATCTCTCTTCTCATCCCTTCTCTGACGGACTTGGGCACTCGGTAGGCTGCCTGCTTCAGGGGGGCCTGACCCTGCGTGTCTACCCGGTGGGCAGTTGTGGTGGTGTAACCGGGCAGACACGAGAACAGCCCTCGGCGCTCTTGGAGCAGTTGGCGGGCTTGTTCCTTGGCCTATGGAGGCAGCCATGTGCTGATATCTACATCCGCTACACTCAGCTGGGACTATCCGTCCCCCGGCAGCCCCGGCAGAAGAAGCGTTTCTGAGTCATCGGTAGCCGGAGCGCAAATAGCAGCTACACTCCCCTCCTGTTGTTCGATGAACGGTTTCAGCATATTCACATGGAAGGTTCGCCAGATCCTTCAATCTGAACAGCGAGCTACAATGTACGTGGTATCACAGAGTTGCTCCACCACTTGGTATGGGCCCTGCCAGGCAGCCTGTAATTTGTCATGCCTGACTGGTTTCAAGGCCAACACTTTCTGTCCTAAGTGAAACGTTCGGTCTCAGGCAGACCGGTCGTACCACCATTTCTGTCGGCTCTGGGTGGCCTCCGGGTTGTCCTGTACTAGGGTCGTTAACTGTTGTAGTCTCTCCCTGAGCTCCAGCACATAGGCCACCACCGAGGTCCCCTCCTCGGCCACTGCTCCCTCCCAGTGTTCGCGTAAGAGATCCAGGGGTCCCCGAACCCTCCGGCCGTACAGCAGCTCGAAGGGAGAGAACCAAGTGGACTCCTGCGGTACCTCTTGGTAGGCGAACAGGAAGTGGGGAAGATGCCGCTCCCAGTTCTTATGGGACATGGTGAACGTTCAGAGGAGCTGTTTCAGCGTACTGTTAAACCGTTCGCAGAGGCCATTGGTCTGGGGGTGGTAGGGAGAGCTGTACAGCGGTCTGATCCCACACAACTTCCAAAGATGTTGGGCAAGCTCGGCCGTGAACTGCATGCCTTGGTCGGTCAGGATCTCCAGAGGAAATCCTACCTAAGATCTGCAGCAGGGCTTGAGCAACTGTTTCTGCCTGCACATCTCTCAGCGCTACGGCCTCCGGATACTGGGTGGTGTAGTCGTCAGTGGTCAAGATATACTTCTTGCCTGTGGGACTAGGCCGTTTCAGGGGCCCCACTAGGTCCACGGCGATACGACTGAAAGGTTCCCTGACTATGCCTCAGAGTGGCCCTGGGCCTGTATCTCTGCTTCCCTACCTTCTGGCAGACCTCAGAAGACCGACAGTAGTCCCGAACGTCCCCTGATACTCCTGGCCAGAAGAAACTGTGGGTTAAGCGATGCAGGGTCCGTCGCTTGCCCAAAAGCCCAGCAAGGGGAATATCATGCGCAATCTGGAAGAGGTCACGCTGATACTTCCTTGGTACTACCATCTGCCAGTGAGGTATTTGGGCAGCGCCCACCCCTGCTCCCCTGTGGACCCTGTACAACTTGCCCTGGTCCCACTCATACCTTACATCTCCCAATCCCTCAGGATCACTTTCAGCCCTCCGTCTATAGGGGTCTAAGGTCCGGTCACTGGCTGTTTCTTTAGCAAAATCAGCTGGGGAATCCCAGGTCAGGGCAGGGACAAGCTCAGCAGGGGGTGGGTATTCAACTCTTACCGGAACCTCGGCAGGTGGAGCGGCAGCATACTCTCTAGTTTGGTGGGGAGTGGTGACTGGATGAGCTTCAGAACGGGTCTCGGTGCCAAAAGTGGAGACCAGGACTCCCAGATTATTTTCAAGGAGAGCCTCAGTTGGTAAGTTCTGCATTACTCCAATTTTAACATCCCTGGCCCGGCCCCCCAGTCCAGATGAACCCTTGCAGTAGGAATCCGGTAGACATGGCCTCCTGTTACCCGTACGGCCACAGACCGCCTGGTCTTGGCCCAGTCTGGTACCAGTTAGACTAGGATGAGTGTGGCCCCAGTGCCCCGTAATCCTTGGGCCCAACGGCTGTTAACATGGACAACCTGTTGGTGATGTCAGCGATTGTCCGGGGTGGCAGCCTGGAGAGGGTTAGCCTCATGAAAGACCCCGATGTCCTCATCCTCGTTTGTAAAATTCCTCCATGAAGAGGCGGTGTCACTGGGGTGGTCCTGTAGGGAGTAGGCAGAGGCTCGGCCATAGGTAGTGGTGGGTCGGTTGGAAGTGCGCCGAGAGGGTTGGCTACTCTGGGGCCTTGGAGAATCCCGGGGGCAATGAATGCGGATGTGCCCTGTTTGGTTGTAGCCATAACGGCATTGGCCAGACCGCTTTGGATCAGAAGGTGTGGGTCGTCTGAGGCATTCTCGGGTGACCGGAGTGGGCACCACTGGTTGTGGACGAGGTGCAGGGGGAATGGCGGGCTCGGTTAGCCTCCTGTTGTCCAGGTACTCATCTACCCAGCGACTAGCGTCGGCTAGAGTTACGGGGCGTTTGTCCCAGACCCAATGTCTAACATCCCCTGGAAGTCCATTGTAAAACTGCTCCAGTAACAGCAGTTGTAACAGTTCCTCCAGCTTGGTGATCTGACACCCTTGGACCAAGCTGCGGGCATGTTATAATTGATGTCCCCATTCAGTGAAGGTATCCTGGGGTTTCTTCTTGAGTGCCCGGAACTTTAAGCGGTATGCCTCTGGGGTGAGATCGTAGCGGGCCAGCAAGTGTTCCTTAACAAAATCATAATCCAAGCAGTAACTGTCGGGTACAGTCCTGAATGCGTCTGCAGCCCGACCGGTTAGCTTTCTGCTCAAAATGGGGACTCGGTCTTGGGCTGCCACACCATGGATGGTGCATAACCGTTCAAAGTCCTGAAGAAAGCTGCCAATGTCCTCATTCGCCTCTGAGAAAGATTTAAAAGCAGCGTAGGGAATTTTCTTTGGTCCGGTTGCAGTCTGGAGAAGGCGGGAGGTAATCCTCTCCCAGACCGAGCCCTCGGTTGATGACCGGGAGCGACAAAGCTGCAGTTGGGTGGCATCATCCAGGGCCTTGGAAATCTGTTTGGAGGTGGGAGCGCTGCCGAACAGAGCCAAACGCCACTCCACCTCTTGTCCTAAATCCAAATGTTATAGGGGTCTCGGTACGGTGCTAAGTGGGCCTGGCATTTCAGGGGCCGATGAGCTGCTCTGTTCCTCCAACTCCTCCTGTGAAGCGGAGTTCGCTTCTGGCGGAGCAGTGTTCGCTTCAAGCGTAGCGGAGTGTGCATCAGGTAAAGTGGGTTGCGCATCCGCTTGGTCCAGGGCCATAATCTCGTCCATTTCCTCTCTGATCTTGGAGCCAGCGATACCGCCCCGAGCGACAAGCAGGCTTTGGAGAGCTGGCTTCCGGAGGTCCCGTATATCCATCTGGCTGAGCAGGGATGTCTCCGTGAAAAAGATGGGGTTGGTAGTTTGGACTTTCTTCGCAATGAGGAAAGATCCAACCGTGCCAACCAGTTGTGGCAGAACCATTCCGCCTGGGGTTCCTCGTGCGGAGCGATGCGTCTCAGCCAATGGTCCCCTTGTCCTGCAGGTCTTCCAGTGCTCTGCCAAGGCCGGTATTAGAGCTCAAAACCAATCCTTCCCTGCTATCCCAAGCCACGAGTCGGAACTTCATGTAGGGTGAAATGAATCAATCTTTATTGAACACAGTTCAGTATATACAGTTTCACCCCCAAAAGACAGCCTGGCACCGGGTTTTCCCCACCTACAACAAAACCCTACAACCCAAAAATACAGTATGAACTCTATAGAAGTGAAAGACTACAAGGTCACATTTCCCTAAACAAACAGTGTAGAATGTCTGTCTACATAACAGCTGCTAAACATATACAGCTTTACCAAGGGGAAAAAACTGAAACAGAAAGGGCAAAATGTTATCACAAAGGGACAGTTCTTCACAAGCTCTCCTCCCACCATCCACACTACATTCTCTGACAGATCTCCTCCTACCATCCACACTACATTCTCTGACAGCTCTCCTCCTACCATCCACACTACATTCTCTGACAGCTCTCCTCCATCATCCACACTACATTCTCCGACAGCTCTCCTTCCCCATCCACACTACATTCTCCGACAGCTGTCCTCCCACCATCCACACTACATTCTCCGACAGCTCTCCTCTCACCATCCACACTCCATTCTCCGACAGCTCTCCTCCCACCATCCACACTCCATTCTCCGACAGCTCTCCTCCCACCATCCACACTCCATTCTCTGACAGCTCTCCTCCCCCTACCATCCACACTACATTCTCTGACAGCTCTTCTCCACCATCCACACTACATTCTCTGACAGCTCAACTCCCACCATCCACACTACATTCTCTGACAGCTCTCCTCCCCCACCATCTACACTACATTCTCTGACAGCTTTCCTCCACCATCCACACTACATTCTCTTACAGCTCTCCTCCTCCCACCATCCACACTACATTCTCTTAAAGCTCTCCTCCACCATCCACATTACACTTTTCTGTTGTTAAAAAGACTAATCTTTCAACAGAAAAGAAAACCTAGTGCAACACCAGTGTTTAGGAAATCTTTCTATAGGAAAGATTTCCCGCACATGATTAGGCATGCTCACCTGTGTGAATTCTAAGATGTTTAACAAGGCCTCCTTTATTAGTGAAAGATTTCCCGCACTCTGAACATGAAAAAGGACGCTCACCTGTGTGAATTCTCTGATGAACAACAAGGTCTCCTTTCTGAGTGAAACATTTCCCGCACTCTGAACATGAATAAGGAAGCTCACCTGTGTGAATTTTCTGATGTCTAACAAGGTCTCCTTTCTGAGTGAAACATTTCCCGCACTCTGAACATGAATAAGGAAGCTCACCTGTGTGAATTTTCTGATGTCTAACAAGGTCTCCTTTCTGAGTGAAACATTTCCCGCACTCTGAACATGAATAAGGACGCTCACCGGTGTGAATTCTCTGATGTTTAACAAGGGCTCCTTTATGAATGAAAGCTTTCCCGCACTCTGAACATGAATAAGGTCGCTCATCCATGTGAATTCTCTGATGTTTAACAAGGCCTTCTTTATGAATGAAAGATTTCCCGCACTCTGAACATGAGTAGGGACGCTCACCCGTGTGAATTTTCTGGTGTGTAACAAGATGATGTTTTTTATGGAAAGATTTCCCGCACTCTGAACACGAATAAGGACGCTCAGACGTGTGAATTCTCTGATGTTTAACAAGGATTCCTTTCTGAGTGAAAGATTTCCCGCACTCTGAACATGAATAAGGACGCTCACCTGTGTGATTTCTCTGATGTACAACAAGGTCTCCTTTATAAATGAAAGATTTCCCACACTCGGAACATGAATAAGGACGCTCACTGGTGTGAATTCTCTGATGTTTAACAAGGGCTCCTTTATGAATGAAAGATTTCCCGCACTCTGAACATGAATAAGGACGCTCACCTGTGTGATTTCTCTGATGTACAACAAGGTCTCCTTTATGAATGAAAGATTTCCCGCACTCTGAACAGGAGTAGGGGCGCTCACCTGTGTGAATTTTCTGGTGTGTAACGAGATGATGTTTTTTTATGGAAAGATCTTCCGCACTCTGAACATGCATAAGGACGCTCACCTGTGTGAATTCTCTGATGTTTAATAAGGATTCCTTTCTGAGTGAAAGATTTCCCACACTCTGAACATGAATAAGGACGCTCACCTGTGTGATTTCTCTGATGTACAACAAGGTCTCCTTTATGAGCAAAATATTTCCCGCACTCTGAACATGAATGGGGACGCTCACCCGTGTGAATTTTCTGGTGTGTAACAAGATGATGTTTTTTATGGAAACATTTCCCGCACTCTGAACATGAATAGGGACGCTCACCCGTGTGAATTCTCTGATGTTTAACAAGGTTTCCTTTCTTACTGAAACTTTTACCGCACTCTGAACACGAATAAGGACGCTCACCTGTGTGAATTCTCTGATGTGTAACAAGTTCTCCTTTCTGAGTGAAAGATTTCCCACACTCTGAACATGAATAGGGACGCTCACCCGTGTGAATTTTCTGGTGTCTAAGAAGATGATGTTTTTTATGGAAACATTTCCCACATTCTGAACATGAATAGGGACGCTCACCCGTGTGAATTCTCTGATGTGTAACAAGGTTTCTTTTCTTACTGAAACATTTCCCGCACTCTAAACATGAGAATAGATTGTCCCCTCGGTGAGCTCCTTCATGGGGTGCGGAAGATTCCTCGGGATTAGATGGATCTGTTGATCTCTCTGCAGTGTGGGATCCTAAATGGACATTTGCACTCCTAGTATGTGATTGGTCAGAAGATTCCCCCTGATCAGAGGGATCCATTGATGTCTCCGGACAGGAAGGTCTGTGATAGATATTGGGTGTATTTGGATTTACTCTTGGAGAATTCTGTGTGATGGCATTTTCTTCTGACTTCCAATCAGCAGATAATAGAAGACGTCTCTCTGAGGAATTCCTGACATCAGCGCCATCTGATGGAGAGAAATGGAAGAAATGTCAGAATTCACAAATAACTGGAGATTTAGCTCCTCCCCCGTCAGTGGAATAAGTGGAAATGTCAATCTCACAGCTGGGCTCCTGTTCTCCCTCCAAAATTGATCAGAAAAGTGTCCATGTCTCTCCTGCCTCTGATTGAAGGTAATGAAGTGCAGATTGCACTCCATTCGTTTTTGTCCCCAGCAACAGCTCCCCTGGAAAGTGACATTCGGACCAGGAAGTGATGTCACTCACATGGCTTTGAGCAAGTAGATGCTCCGCCCAGAGATCCTCCCCGCGGAAGTGGAAAGTCGGTGCTGGAGTAAAATGTGCACAGAAAATGGTTTACGCGTTTCGGCCATAAGCCTTCGTCATAGCCACCCCTCCCCTGCACTGTATACAATGTGTGTGTATATATATATATATATATTATATATATATATACACACAGCATCTCCCAGAAGTGAGTCCCCCCTCCCCCGCACTGTATACAATGTGTATATATATATATATATATATATATATATATACACATACAGCATCTCCCAGAAGTGAGTCCCCCCCCCTCCCCCGCACTGTATACAATGTATATATGTCAGGAATGGACTGGCCAGCAATGGTGGGACTCACCTGCCTTATGGGCTGCAGTACCAGGGCTGGCCAGCGGGTGCTCCCAGCAATCAGAGACTCAACCCTGCAGCCAGCCAAACACCTGAAACTGCTTATGCAGGTGTATTTAAGGGATGGCCAGACCTGCAGACTCTGCCTTGGTATGTGTTTTTCCTGGGCCCTGGATCTTGTTCCTGCATCCTGTTCCTGTCTTGTTGCTAACCCTGCTTGATCTGGACCTCTGCTGACTTCTCCTGTTCTGATCCCTGGCTTGTGACCCCGACCATTCTCTGCCTGACCCCCCTGTACCTACCTGCCTGTTAGTTGCTGTACCCGGCTCGTGACCTGACTACTCTCTGCCTGCTCCTCCTGCTCCTACCTGCCCGTTTGTTATTGACCCGGCCTGCCTGACGACGCTTGCATTGTATGTATTGTTATCTGTGGGTGGTTTGGTTCGTTTGCACTGTGTTATGTTTTAGTATTGCATGTTTGTATTGTTAGTCTTGAATAAATGATATTGTTTATAACTTATCTGAAGCCTGCATTTCCCTGCGTCAGTCACATACCTCTGGTCACACCCCGGAGCCCTGACATTACACCAAGGCCAATCCTGACCAGAAGTGGCTGCACAGGGAAGCCATTTTGGCTTGTTGCTGGGAAGGATGGATCTTGATGAGGTTGTGTATTTGTCTCTGCTAGTGTTTGATGACAGAGAGTATGCTTATCAGACTCTGAAGGAGTATCCCAGGGATCAACTACTAGAGTGAATACGGATCGCTCATGTTCTAGTAGATCAGGGCACAGAATTCTCTGAGGTGCAGCCATTGATTCGGGTTTGTGCTGAGTTGGTTTCATCTGGTACCCCCGAATGCAGGGATGAATTTTTGCCACCATTTAGTGCCGACCAGGTAGAGTCCCTGGTATGGTTATTAGAGGATGATGTGGATTACTTTCTGGAGCGTTATTCTGCATGTTCACCACAATACTAAGAGATTGTATAAACGCAGTGCAGTCTTTGGTCAGACAGGCTTTGTGTAAGCTCAGCTTTGTTCAACCCATACTGCAGACATGGACAGATTTGTTGCACCCAGCCTCAGTCAGCCTACAAAAACCCAGTCCTGCTTCTAATCTATTTCCTCAAAGCTCTATTCCTGCATTCCCAACAGCACCTCCAGTTACAGCCCAGTATACTTGGCTATCTACCGCATGTCAGTACCCTGTTCCCACTCGCTGCACCTATCCTGCCTTTAACCCTGTAAAGAAGCCCTCTGTAGCAACTGTTCCCTCCCCTGTTCCATCCTCCAGCTCTTCTCTGTCTCCAGCTGCTCCATTCGTTTGCAGACCTGCGTTTACTTGCAGTGCTCCAGTAGTTAAAACCAGAAAAAAGCAAAAATTCTTTCCAACCAGTACCATCCTGCCAGTATCCAAACCGGTGAGCCTGCTGTCTGAGAACCTGCCTTCCGTGGTTCAGCCTGGTGCCTCGGCGCCCGCACTTCAGCCTGATGTCTGTACCCAGCCTGATGTCTGTACCCAGCCTGATGTCTGTACCCAGCCTGATGAACTGATCCAGCCTGATGTCTGTACCCAGCCTGATGTCTGTATGCAGCCTGATGTCTGTACCCAGCCTGATGAACTGATCCAGCCTGATGTCTGTACCAAGCCTGATGAACTGATCCGGCCTGATGAACTGATGCAGCCTGATAATCCTATCATGCCAGGTGACTCGATGCCCGCTGTTCCGCCAGTTGACTCGGTGCCCGCAGTCTTGCCAGACGACTCGGAGCCCGCAGTCTTGCCAGACGACTCGGTGCCCGCAGTCTTGCCAGACGACTCGGTGCCCGCAGTCTTGCCAGACGACTCGGTGCCCGCTGTTCCGCCAGTTGACTCGATGCCCGCTGTTCCGCCAGTTGACTCAGTGCCTGCGATCTTGCCAGACGACTCGGTGCCCGCAGTCTTACCAGGTGACTCGATGCCCGCTGTTCCGCCAGTTGACTCGGTGCCCGCAGTCTTGCCAGACGACTCGGTGCCCGCAGTCTTGCCAGACGACTCGAAGCCCGCTGTTCCACCAGTTGACTCGGTGCCCGCAGTCTTGCCAGACGACTCGGTGCCCGCAGTCTTGCCAGACGATTCAATGCCTGATGACCCAGTGCCCGCGGTCATGCCTGGTGACTCGGAGCCCACTGTCGTGCCTGGTGACTCGGTGCCCACTGTCTTGCCAGATGACGCGGTGCCCGCTGGCGAGCCAAATGACCTGATGCCTGGTGACCCAGTGCCTGCTGTCATACCTGGTGAACCGATGCCCGCTGTCGAGCCAGACAATCCCATGCCTGATGACCCAGTGCCCGCTGTCATGCCTGGTGACCCGATGCCCGCTGTCGGGCCAGACGATCCAATGTCTGACCCAGTGCCCACGGTCATGCCAGTTGACTCGGAGCCTACTGTCGTGCCTGGTAACTCGGTGCCCACTGCCTTGCCAGATGACGCGGTGCCCACTGGCGAGCCAAATGACCTGATGCCTGGTGACCCGATGCCTGTCGCCCCGCGTGGGGGCCCGATGCCTGTCTCCCCGCGTGGGGGCCCGATGCCTGTCTCCCCGCGTGGGGGCCCGATGCCTGTGTCGCCCCGCCTGGGGGCCCGATGCCTGTCGCCCCTCCTGGGGGCCCGGTGCCCGCCGCTCCGCCTGGTGATCCGGTGTCCAGCTCGATGTGCCTCTGCCCGGAGTCCAGCTCGATGTGCCTCTGCCCGGAGTCCAGCTCGATGTGCCTCTGCCCGGAGTCCAGCTCGATGTGCCTCTGCCCGGAGTCCTGCCCGATGTGCCTCTGCCCGGTGTCCTGCCCGATGTGCCTCTGCCCGGAGTCCTGCCCGATGTGCCTCTGCCGGGAGTCCTGCCCGATGTGCCTCTGCCGGGAGTCCTGCCCGATGTGCCTCTGCCGGGAGTCCTGTCCGATGTGCCTCTGCCGGGAGTCCTGCCCGATGTGCCTCTGCCCGGAGTCCTGCCCGATGTGCCTCTGCCCGGAGTCCTGCCCGATGTGCCTCTGCCCGGAGTCCTGCCCGATGTGCCTCTGCCCGGAGTCCTGCCCGATGTGCCTCTGCCCGGAGTCCAGCCCGATGTGCCTCTGCCCGGAGTCCAGCCCGATGTGCCTCTGCCCGGAGTCCAGCCCGATGTGCCTCTGCTCGGAGTCCAGCCCGATGTGCCTCTGCCCGGAGTCCAGCCCGATGTGCCGCTGCCCGGAGTCCAGCCCGATGTGCCGCTGCCCGGAGTCCAGCTCGATGTGCCTCTGCCCGGTGTGCCGCTGCCCGGAGTCCTGCCCGATGTGCCAGTCTTTGATATCCCGCCAGTTACCAGACCCGGGCGGTGGAACATTTCGCCCAGCTAGGACTGTTTGGAGCGTCCTGAGGCCGCTCCTTGGGGGGGGGGGGTACTGTCAGGAATGGACTGGCCAGCAATGGTGGGACTCACCTGCCTTATGGGCTGCAGTACCAGGGCTGGCCAGCGGGTGCTCCCAGCAATCAGAGACTCAACCCTGCAGCCAGCCAAACACCTGAAACTGCTTATGCAGGTGTATTTAAGGGATGGCCAGACCTGCAGACTCTGCCTTGGTGTGTGTTTTTCCTGGGCCCTGTATCTTGTTCCTGCATCCTGTTCCTGTTCCTGTCTTGTTGCTAACCCTGCTTGATCTGGACCTCTGCTGACTTCTCCTGTTCTGATCCCTGGCTTGTGACCCCGACCATTCTCTGCCTGACCCCCCTGTACCTACCTGCCTGTTAGTTGCTGTACCCGGCTCGTGACCTGACTACTCTCTGCCTGCTCCTCCTGCTCCTACCTGCCCGTTTGTTATTGACCCGGCCTGCCTGACGACGCTTGCATTGTATGTATTGTTATCTGTGGGTGGTTTGGTTCGTTTGCACTGTGTTATGTTTTAGTATTGCACTGCGTTTATGTTTGTATTGTTAGTCTTGAATAAATGATATTGTTTATAACTTATCTGAAGCCTGCATTTCCCTGCGTCAGTCACATACCTCTGGTCACACCCCGGAGCCCTGACAATATATATATATATATATACACACAGCATCTCCCAGAAGTGAGTCCCCCCTCCCCCACACTGTATACAATGTATATATACAGTGGGGATCGAAAGTTTGGGCACCCCAGCTAAAAATTTGTATTAATGTGCATAAAGAAGCCAAGGAAAGATGGAAAAATCTCCAAAAGGCATCAAATTACAGATTAGACA